AGTCAGAGAATACTGTAATGAACCTCCATGTGCATCATTTAGCTTACCAGACACTATACATCTTACCCATTTTATCCCAGGCATTATATGATCTTTTGCTTAAATACTTCAGCATGTATCTTTTAAAAAAGAAAGGTGCCATAATTTTACTATCTTACCCAACAAAATTAACAATTATTTTTTGGTAATCTCTAATATTATTTTTATATTCATTGTTTCTTAATTGTTTCAGAGATACATCTTTACAGTTAGTTTGTTCAAATAGGGTTCCAAACAATATCTATTGTTGTTATATCCATTGCATTGGTTGATATATCTTTTTGAGTTTTTCAGTTTACAACAATTTCGCTCTTCCCACTCCTTTTTTATTGCTATTTTTGGGGTAAAGGAGTTGGCTTGGTTTTCTAAAGAGTTTTATACATTCTGCATTTGGTTGATTGCATCCTTTTGGGGTACAATTTGACATGTTATTCTGTCCAGAGTATTTCCTGGAAACTGATAATAGATGTATTAGAGACTTGATTAGATTGGCTCAATTCCTTGCCAACATATAAGTTACTTTTATTTTACTTTGCTTTTTTTCTCATGTGAATATTAAATCTTAGCTCTGCATCGGTAGATATCACCCATATTATCCAAATGCCATTTTGTTAACAGTAGCTCTGTCTGTCCAGGTCTGTTTTAATTTGTGAAATGAAAATAAGACTGCTGAAGACTTGCACGTTCATATCTGGTGATTTGGGGCACCGTTATCCAGTCTTCTAAGTCAGGAAAGTGTGAATGTCAGTAGAAACAGATTAGATTCTGCCATGTTAAAATTAATTTTGTTGTCTTTTATTTGTATAAATGTTGTTTCTTTAACATGGTTGAGTACAGCACAGAATGTTCTAATTTCCTAATTTTCAAAACTGAAATTAGCCCTGACTGGTTTTGCTCAGTGGATAGAGCATCGTGTTGCGGACTCAAGGGTCCCGGGTTCGATTCCAATCAAGGGCATGTACCTTGGTTGTGGGCACATACCCAGTGGGGAGTGTGCAGGAGGCAGCTGATCGATGTTTCTCTCTCATCGATGTTTCTAATTCTCTATCCCTCTCCCTTCCTCTCTGTAAAAAATCAATAAAATATGTATTTTAAAACAAAACAAAACTGAAGTTAGTTTTCCTTATTTGCCTGGCCATTATGCAAACAATGGAAAAATTCTTGCCATTATTATGTTATTTCTCAAAATTCTTAACATCTTTTATATCTTTATCATTTGTGTATTCTCTAAGTATTTCACCAAAACTTTAGTAATAATATGCTGTCCTATTTGTAGAGCAGTAATTTTGCTAAGTTTCTTTTATTTTGAATGTGCTCTGTCATCACCATAGAAATAGTTCTTCACTAGAAATTGTAGTTAATAAAGCTGAACTATTTCAAAATGTTTCTCTTCAATATCTTGTTTTATTAATTTTTAAAAGGTTCTTCTCAGAGTTAGCTGTTAATGTCTATTTATTGTACTTTCTATATGGGTGATTTGTTGTACAAAGTGAGGCTAAGATATGTGGATGGGAAAATAAGATTAATTAATAAGGTTACTGATTATGTTTATCCTTTGATATATGAGGAATCTGTAGGAAAGACATAATATTAATACGTTGAAATATAACACACCCATTTCTTGTTATTTATGCCACTGTGACATTTAGACATCCTTTGCTTTCTTTTTTTTTTTGGATGGGGGTTTTGTCATAAGGAAAATGGCAAGGAAATAAGCTATTGTAAAAGATTTATTTGAGAAAGTTACAGGGTATGGTCTAAGGCTCTAGACTCAGTACTGATGATTTTGTTTTATCAAGAGGAGATTAAATTGTATCCAGTACATTGAATTTGCTAAGACCTGGAAGTTAAATCATTAGTTAAAACTTATATCTTAGAACTAAGATGATTGTATCATGCTAGATAATTTATCCATGTAATTTCTTTCTTGCTCATCATTATTTACTCATTTATTGATAGCAATGTTTTATCTCTAGCTAGCTATTCAGAGTAGAGTTGAACCATAAAATACTGCTATTACATGAAGGAACCCACAGGTCAAATGCAAGAATAGAAAAAAAAAATTTACTTTTATTTATTTATTTATTTTGTTTGTTGTTGTATTTTGAGAAAGGGCAAAAAATAATATTCAAGCCTCATAGGAGTAAAATTAATTCTAGGCAGAAAACTTTAACAACTACTTTTCTGACTAGCTCTTAGAACTTATTTGAATGTGAGTACAGTTATTGTAGCTTCTGTTGGAATTTTTTAAAGGTGCAATCCATCATCAAGTAACAAATCTTAATGTTAGACTCTATGAATTTAAAAATCATATTTAAGATTGTATTGGAAACAACTAAGCATCAAGAGGTCTGGTCAAATAAATAGGTAGAGCTGAATATTGGACTACTATGTTGACATGATAAAAATGAGGTAGCTGTGCATATAAAATAGAGAAAGAGTTCTAAAATATATTATTAAATGAGAAAGGTATGGCAAAAATATGATGTAATCTCATTGTTAAAAGTAAAATTAAAAGAATATGTCTATGCTGGCATATGAAAAAAATATTTTTCTATTATACACAAGAATCTTAACATGGTTTTTACATATATTTGAAATTCTAATCCTATACAGCTACTGCTTCATATATACACAAAAGTACATTTGTGAAAAAAAGTACATTTGTGTGTAAAAATACATTGAAAAGAGGTCTTCTAAATTTCAGATCCTGTGTTTTGTCCTTGAAAATATTAGAAAAAGCATCAAGAATCTGTTATTTTCCTTGTTGTAGGAAATGTTATGGTTCTAAATTCAGAAAACTATTATTTAATACAGGATTACTTTTTCTTAGGATTTTCACTTAAACAGAGTTAATTTGGAAGAATCTTCAGGATTGGAAAATACTCCAGCTGGTGCTAGACCAAAGAGAAAAAACAAGAAGTCTTATGATTTAACTCCAGTTGACAAATTTTGGCAGAAACATAAAGGAAGGTAAGTAAGAAAAACATAATTAAATAAGAGATTTTCCCATTAAAAAGAAATGAAGATGTCATCTGACTTAATTTATATTATTTAAAAAACAATCCAAAAGGTCATAGTTCATCTACACAATGAATAGGAGCTATATATAATAGTCCATAGATTTGTGTCTTCATTGCCCGATTTCTTCCTGACTCCTTAGTTGTTTTTTGTTATTTTGTGGTAGCCAATTCCCCATTCATGAAGCTCATACCGTATGATCTTGTAGATTTTACAGATAGTTTTTCTAAATTTTGTTGTATCCCCGCTGACCTTCATTAAGACCATTTCTGCCTTTCATTAAAATGGGTTTTTGTGATAGGGAAACCATTTAGGTCTGATTTTCCTTTTTTTGTCCCATTTGCCTTCATGCAAACCCAGTTTTATATATCTGTGGAAAGAATGCCTGAGCCTGAAAACCAGATTTATTTAAGTACATTAGAAATAATAGGTAAAAAAATCAAAACAATTTGTCTTGTGATTTATTTGTAGGCAGATACACAGTTCTTAGATGTTGTCCTGTCGTTTGGAAGTTTAGACTACATTGTAGGCTCGCTAACTGTTAGAAAACTTAGCAAGTGGTCATTATAGCTAGAGAAACATTCTAAACAAAAATTATTCCTCTGAGAGAAACAGTTAAAAAATATTATATTATTTTGAATACTTTGTGTTACTGTATCTATATCTATCTATATCCTTGATATGGCTGTTCTTTTTGGCCTCATTTATGTTGAAAGAGAAGTAGTATATAAAGTTTCAAATGTTGGGGGGGTTTTTGGTATGTTTTAAGTTTTTAACTCTGGAAAATCATTATAGCAAAGAATTTTACTTTCTCTGTACAGAGAAAGCCACTATCTTCCTCTTTCTGACTATGGCAAATTTGAGTACTGTTAAGATTTACTTTATTTTAAATAATTCTCTCCTCTTTAGAATTTCATAGTGTACATTTCCTTCCAGAATGGTGAAGTACAAGAAGTTACATGTACATTATTTATAGAGGATCTAGGATATTTTAAAGTTAACGTTAAAATTTATATTTCCTAATAGAGAAAAAGCTTAAGAAAAAAATCTCTTCACTCAAATATGGAAATTTTAAATATTTTCTTTAGACCTTATGTTTAGGATCAATTCAGAAGATCAAATGAATAGTAAGAACTTTAAATTTTTGTTTACAAGTAGGAATAGCTGTGAATAACTCTCTCTAAATATTGTACTAAAGAGTAAGGTGGGCACAAAGGACACGGGGAGACAGCATGAAGTGAAACAGCTGACTTAAATCTCTCTGAGTTTCCGTTTCCCCATCAGTAAAATGTAGGGATGATAATTCTACCTATTGCTCTATTTCAGAAGGTTGTGATGAAGATTGAGATAATTAAAGTAACTTGCCCAGAGTCATCCAGCCTTCATTGGCTTCACCAATTTGCAGTCCCACCAAGAGTGCATGAGATAGCCTTTTGACTGGTATGAAGTGATACATCCTTGCTTTTCTCCTATAATTAGTGACGTTGAGCATCTTTTCATGTCTGTTGGCCAATTGTATGTCCTTTTTGGAGAAGTGTCTATTCAGGTCCTCTGCCCACTTTTTAGTTGAATTGTTTGGATTTTTTTGGAGTTGTCTTGAGTTCTCAATAAATTTTGGATATTAACCGCTTCTGTTCAATACTGTTTCAGTCCATTCCCAGAAGTTGCAGAATCAGTTCAACAAGAACTAGAATCTTACAGAGCACAGGAAGATGAAGTTAAACGACTTAAAAGCATTATGGTAAGATTCTGTTTACTTTTTTAGAATTATAGGGAAGCAGAAGGGCATCTGGAAGGAGAAAGAAGTTAACTTTTTCTTCTCCTAAAAATTCAAGACCATTCATTGCTTTAATTAAAAAAGAAAAAAAAATACATCAACTTATATAAAAGATGTTTTTCATAATGAAATCTAAATACTGAGTAGAGCAAATATTTTTTAAATATATTTTTATTGATTTCAGAGAGGAAGGAAGAGGGAGAGAGAGATAGAAACATCCATGATGAGAGAGAATCATGGATTGGCTGCCTCCTGCAAGTCCCCCACTGGAGATCGAGCCCACAACCTGGGCATGTGCCCTTGACCAGAATTGAACCTGGGACCTTTCAGTTCCCAGGCTGACGCTCTGTCCACTGAGCCAAACCGGCTAGGGCTAGAGCAAATATCTTTTTTTAAATAATACTAATTTATTATTTAAATCATGTCTAATAAAAGAGTAATATGCAAATTGACCACCACCCCAACACACAAGATGGCCACCCCCATGTGATCAAAAATGGCCCCCACAAGGTGGCCAGCGGGGGAGGGCAGTTATGGGCAATCTGACCGGCAGGGGAGCAGTTAGGCATCGATTAGGCTGGCAGGGAAGTGGTTAGGGGGTGATCAGGCTGGCAGGCAGAAGCAGTTAGGGGCAATCAGGCAGGCAGGCAGGCGAGTGGTTGGGAGCCAGCAGTCCTGGATTGTGAGAGGGATGTCACTCGAGGGGTCCGAGATTGGAGAGGGTGCAGGCTGGGCTGAGGACACCCTTCCCCCCACCCCCATGAATTTCGTGCACTGGGCCTCTAGTATATATATAAAATGCAGCTTTATTTTAGAAATATATGTTTTAGTGCTACTTTGATCTAACTTTAGATTTTAGCTCTACTATTTATTGCTCTGTGACCTGTGAAAAGTTTCTGGGTCAATTTCTTTATCTGAAATGCCAGCTGATCCTTTTTGTAGTCATCAACCATTTATTGGGCTGTTGGTGGCTAGAACTTTTCTCTAATTGTCAAAAGACATATGTTTATTCCTTAGAGGAGAAGAATTATTATTTTTGGTGACCTAAATCTTACTGTTTACCAGTGATGTTAAAAATATATTGATTTTTATGCTTGGGTTTTGGGATGTGTGAGTAGTTACTAGGACTTTTTTCCTTCCCAGGGACTAGAAGGGGAAGATGAAGGAGCCATAAGTATGCTTTCTGACAATACTGCTAAGCTAACATCAGCTGTTAGGTAAGTAAGAAATATATCCTCTTTGAAGTCTATTTGTTGATAAGATTTACTTAGGCGGTAAAAATTTTGTTAATATTTTTAATAATAGGATATATTAGGTAATAACATATACTTTAAGTTTAAAGAACGAAATTGTATTTTTAACATGTTCAATCTAAGTTCTCTTATATAACAGATCATTTGCTTCTTTCACTAGTTGGAGTATTGTATAATGTGGATAATTTTACGAAGAAGATAATATTGATGATAAAGTAATGCAAGTTATTAAATTTATCATTGCTACTATTTATTAACTAAAGGTTAAGCAATTTCTTTTAGATACTTTAAATGCTCTTAATGAGAGAGGAAAACTGTTTTAGAACTATAAGTACAATCATATTTCCATTAATCTGATTTTATTCTAAGCCTCCAGATATTGGAACTAGAAAGTGAACAGTGGAGTAATGATATTTGGGAGGCAGATTATTTTAAACTAAGAAAAGAAGCACTTCATCTGCATTAGAGT